TACACACATTACTTTACTAATTTAATTTCAATTTATTCTTTCACAGTCAGTAAGCCAAAAACTGCCTTTGTCTAAAATACAGGCTTGGACTACAATAGACATCCACTAGAGAGCCACCCATTTGCAAACAATGTTTATGCCTGGACAGTCTCTGCTGGAACGAGATTCCCTGTTGTATCCAGCTGCATACACTTACAAGAGCAGGCAGAAACAGGGCACTCAGTGTGGTCCCTAGATAGGAAGAGCAGAAAAAAAAGAAGAACAAACGGGTAAAATAATTCTGCAAACTATGTCCAGGGACATAGTATCTCAGAAAAACTCAGCATCATAGTTCAGTTTTATTATTTAAACATTATAATGATAAATACAGTGTTGGAAGCACATCCTACTCAGTGCCGCATACACATGTGAAATAACAAAGATTTTAGCATCAGCTTACCTGAACCAGCTCAGCATATGCCCAGCATGTCCACCATGCCTACAGTTGTGACACCAGGTAAACCAGTTGTTGAACTGGGCTAACTTCTTGTCTTTGCTAAGATCCACTTTTTCATCTGACTTGGATCCTCCTGTGCAGAGGCAAACCCACACCACAAAGATGCTTGTAAATCATCATGCTTCATTAATATTTCAGTCCCACCAACAGTATGAGAATAAATTTGAAATCAGGAACATTATGTGAAGAAGCAGCACGATTTTGAAAGAGAAGCCAGTAAAATTCTTAAGAGCTGGTGGAATGCCAAAACAACAATTATATTGCTGAGCTGTTGTTTCACATATTTCACAAATCACAAAATCACAAATTTTACAGACAGACTCTCAACTGTGATTTATGTTTCAGTGATTGATTTATGTTCCAGTGAATTATGGGTCTGTCTGTTCTGCTGCTCATGAGATCATCTGCTTTAGAAAAAACAACAAAATCTAAGATATGAATTAGAAGAATCTAGAAGTCATAACACAGATCAGTGAAAGAATAAGAAGAGATACATAAACAGATGCCAAGTGCACAGCTGCTCTTGGCTCTGTAATAAGGCTAACAAAAAATAGGGACAAAATTAGTTTTATTTAGACCTTGTATAATGCTGAGCCCAAGATATTTAAAACCAAAAGATTCTAGTCGTAATATCTCTTAGCTGTGGCAGCATACTTGGTGACAAACTACAGCACATTGAATTTATTCTCTCTTCCTCTTCCAGCTAAAAATTAATTCATTTACATTCCAGGACTTATGCAGCATCCCTACAATGTCCATTCCTTACAGCAGTAAAGCTCACAATACTGACCATCACAATACTTGAATCTTTACATCAGTCTAACCATGGAATTTCACTGACAATCTCACTGGGAAAACTGTCAGAACCAAGTAACTGTGCATACTGCCTGACACCAAAGAACTGAGACAAAGGTTTCATCATAAAATCAGATAGGGTATAAACAACTTCTCAATTAATGGTCTTCCTCCCTTCAAAATGCTGAGTATGAATATTTACACTGTGAGCATATATAGAAAAAAGTGCAACAGAACATCTTCCAACAGGAACTGCTAATTAGGCCTCTAACTGTTACTGTAGCTGAACAACTAAAACCTACTCTGTCATACCTGGACAGCTGGAAACTGGTGTTCCCATATTTATCAAGCAAAGTGCACAGCGAGGAAGGGGCTTACGGCAACCAGGACAGCTTGTAACTTTTGACTTGGTTGGTGAACCGCTGACTCCATATTGGCTAAAACCTCGTCCCTGATGAGGAATAGCTGAACAGCTGTAAGAGATTGATTTTCCACAGAAATTGCAACTCACAAATACCTAAAGAGAACAAAAGCCCATTAATTTTTCGGTTTGGTTCCACTTTGCTACACCTGTGTGCGAATCCATGCACGCTAATAAACATCTATCTACCAGATATTCTAGAGAGCACTCTGAAAAGCCAAGGCTACTTGTGAAGGAGGTCTTAGCATCATGGCTTGTAGATATGGCACACAGCCCTGAGAAGAGAGCCTTAATGATGCTCACTTACTTCAAAAGCACATAAAAACATACACCATTGCTACAACTGAGAAAGGTATTATTTAAGATAATAAAAAGCTACATCTGCAGTAATGGAAGAAATTAGGTTTACTCTGCTTACTGTATAATTAAATCTGGTCTCTCCCTCCTGATAGTCAGGTGACTCACTCTAGGAGCTCCCAGCATGAGATTTTCCTACCATTATTTACCTGCATATCTCATGTCACAAGCAGTGACTTGATACCAAGAAGCACATATTTTAAACTCTTCAGGGGTTATTTATGTTGACCACATAAGTATGGAGCACTGAACTCAACTTGCTCCCACTTAAAGCAGTACAGATGCAGCTCTCCTTAAACAGCTGTGACTGATACATGAATTCAAAACCAGTCTTCTTTAGAATCCCTCAGGCCCTAAGGTTTGTAGTGAGTGAAAGGTGCTGTGGTAAGACCATGTTGGCTAAAAATGCCACCAGAGGTTGAGAAGATAGCACTTGGGCAGGGCATTCATTTTTGGGTTAACTAATGTTCAGAACTGATAAAGTTGCTGCTGCTCACTTTTAGTTTCAAGGGCTTCAAAATAGTTTTGAGACTTGTTCTAACTGAAACAGGCACAATTTGAACTAGTTCTTGATTCAGTTCCCTGTTTTCAACATCATTCTCATCCCAAAGCTGAATTCAGCTGGATGATACATCTCTCATTTTGTTTTTCAACATACAAGGAAAAAAAACCAAAACAGTTTCCAGTTTCCCCAGAAAAAAAAAAAGTGTTGGTAAATTACAGTTTCTGAAAGACCTGTCATCTGAAAGAAAAATATTTAAAAAAGAAAAAATAATAATAAAATGGCAGAGAGCTAATTTGCTAGATTAGGTAGGAAGAAATGTAGAGTTGTTTACCAGATTTCTTTACTCTCTATCAAAACAGTTATAAAGTCACAGCTACTTTTTTTTCAGGGCAGCCTTCACTGAATTCTTCTTTTGCACATAAATCCTCATAAAAGCCAAGGTGCAGCCAGCAACCTTTTTTTTTTTTTTTTACAGAAGTACCATGCCATGTTCCTTTCTGGACTGGTCATACTTCATGCAAGAATTACATTTACCTGGGCTAAAGGCTTCGAACTGGGATCCAGCTTACTCCTATGGATATCAAATTCTGCACGTTTATGCCAAAATCTCCAAGCGTCTAAAAGGTTCCTGTAGTTCTCAATCCAGTACTGAACCCTCTCATCCTTAAGTACCTCTGATGGAGAACCCTAAAGCAGGCAGGAAAAAATGTCAAGCCACACACTGAAGACACACAATACATATTATTCACAATTTCAAAAGGCTTTGCAAAGTGTACTACAAGATATGAGAAATAATACAGTGTAATTTGTCTTTAAGAAGATGAATTTTCTGTTTAACTATAATGTGGGTTTGATGAAGGTTTTCTTAAGTCTTCCTCTCTGGTTGAAAATACTTGTGCTGCCATGTCTTCCTAAGATTTTGTGTCTGTCAGATGAAGGACTTGCAAGTTCTCTCACATGTCACAATCTATATCACTGTTAAGATTACATATGCAGTTAAATACAGTGCTGGGAAACCCAAACCCAATGCCTACAGACAAACAAAAAAACCTCACCTCAGTTCTCTATCAAAATCTTGGAAGCAAAAAATATAATGAACCTGTCAGGAAGCACATCAGCAATAAGCAGGGAAATGGGTATCCCTAGTTCAGCTAGTGAAAAGGACTATGATTTCATTTTGTCTCTTTCTCCTACTATCTCCTCAAGCTATCTCAGCCAAAGAGTGTGAAGACACATGCTTTCAATTAACCCAGCATGTTTCAAGTGACTCCACAAAACAGGCATGATATATATTATCATATAGAAACACACTACTTCACAAGATTCAGTGCTACACAGCTAAAGAAACTATGTTTATTTCTCCTGTTAAAAAAAAACTTATTTTCGATGGAAACACTAACCTGTAGCATGCAATAGCTTGCTGTCTGGACATCTCCAGTTCTGTCAACATAACTTTCCATCAAGTCAACTCCATCTTTTGTCAGCCCTGTTAACAGTATGCCCTCCAAATTCCCAGCCTCTTTCATTTCATTTGTCAGCTTTTCAATAAACCTGTTTAGCTATGAAAAACATACATAATTTAATCAATATATTAAAAATATTGTCTCCTGCTAACAGAATATGCTGCCTGCTGGATGTTATGCAGAAAAAGTTAAAATGCTCTATCCCCTACATTGCATGAAATCAAGTACTTATAAAAAACTTCAAGCCTCCTCATAGGAAATGCAAAGAGAGAGGTTATATATTCATGCTGTAAAACCAAACCTTAATTTGAGAGAACATCAACATCTGGAAATAAATACTAAGTACAAACACTCTCCAGTAAAACAGCTGTACAGGTAACAAGCTATCATGAATACTATTAAAAACAACACAAAACAAACAAAAATCCAAACCCCTAAACCAACCAAACAAAAACCAAGTTGAAGGTACAAACTAAGACCAGATGACACCATACCGTATATAGTACTGGGATAAGAAAAAACAAATCACTCATGACTAATTACTTCCCCTGCTCACCCCTCTACCCCAGTTTCTTCCACCTCTGAGTAACGCACAGTTTAAAAGTTTGCTTAAATGTGCAACCACAAACTTACCTGAGCATCATTGAGGAACTTGCAAGCAAATGCCACTCTGTCTCGTACAGCGACGTTATTTTCATACTGTGGAAAACCAGAAACACACAGAACATGAATTTCTCAGAACTATATTGACACTCAAGGTGCAGCAATGCAACAATATCTATTTTCTTCTTTTTAATGCTTTTACTAGATGCAACACAAGAAAAAAATTAACTTGACTATATTAACTCTGGTACTTAGCTGTGCCAATATTTTTTTCAGAACTATATTGACACTCAAGGTGCAGCAATGCAACAATATCTACTTTCTTCTTTTTAATGCTTTTACCAGACGCAACACAAGAAAAAAACTAACTTGACTATATTAACTCTGGTACTTAGCTGTGCCCATATTTTTCCCTCCTGATATTCTCAGAATAGAAATTGTGATTGACATTGCCAAAATAAGATGTGTTTGGCTAAATCTGTTTCATGCAAACTTTAACAGGTCTCACTGAAGGAAAACTTACATTTAAAAACAAACACCACTTTGTCTGTCAGTTTCCAATACATCCATAAAAAAAGCTAGAAAATTACTACCTGACAACAGGGCAACAAGAATACTCCCTCTCAAAGAGGGAAAAAATAAAAGACTCATGATTCTCTCCTCTGGGATTCTAGCTTTTTTTTTTTTTTTTATTAACCTAAAAGCATCATATCATGGCAACTTTGGTTTCAACAGCTTTGGGTCAATTACCCTGCTGCATTACAGGACTCCTCCCTTGGGCTAAATAAGTCCTACTAAATCAAGTATTTCCATTGTTTTCTAACCAGGAATCAAGTATGTTACTCCTCCAAAGGCTCACATTATCTCATGATTAAAGACTTAATTTGCTCTTCACATGGCAATTCTGCATCAATTTCAGAAGATGTGAAACTACTCTGTTTACTGTTTCAGCACAGTGAAATTATTTTAACAAGTAAACAAGGGGGAAAAAAAAAGACAATTCAAGGCAAATATAGCTTGATGAAAGTTCTGCAAAGTCCCCTGCATTTATTCTGGGTTTTTCTGCAATTCCATTATTAACCTCTCTTCCTTTTTTTTTTTTCCCCATAGCTTTAATTAGTTTGAAAATGTATTTCTAGTGGTTTGATAACTCCATGCTAAAAATAAAATCCCTCTTAAAAAAAAAAGTGTGAACTATAATGGATATTTTGGCTGTTTATGCATGATTTGTTCATTAACATAACATTCACTAATAGAAGGTCTCTGTTAAGCAGAAATAAATGCCATCTGCCAGCATCAGGATAAAATAATACATTCTAATAAACCTGATTAATTCATGGAGTATATAGCACTTCCTCTACATGTGTCTGTGTACATATATGCTCCTATTACATAAAGGAAATTTGACCTAACAGAAATTTACTCACCAAAACACCGTCATATGAACCAGACTCACTTGTCAGGAAAGCAAACATAGCACACAAGTAGGGATTGTTCAACTGCAGTCTTAGAGTACTGCACATTTCTCTCCAAAGTGAGTTCTTCTCATCTGTGTAGCCTGATAGGGCCATTGCTACTACATTAAGGTTCAGATCACCTGATTTATGAAAAACAATGAGACAATATCACTCAAGTTATGGACTTCAAAGAATCCAGTTACAACTGCTATTTAAAGCATCCATTTAAAACACAATGCTCTGTCCCGATGCAAGACAAAATGCACTAGAATTAAAGCTAGTTAAAAGAAATGTGCATACACTAATTAGCTTATATATTAGTTTCTGCTTTAAATGCTCAGGTAAGTTAATACCTCTAAAAGTCACAAGCCCACACACTTGACAGCCTCAGTTATATTTTAAACAACATTACACTGGTTCTGGTATTTTGAAATTGCTATCATGATGGTCATTATCATAATGCATATCCAAAAGAAGTGAAAGGATAGAATTGTATATCCAGCCATTGCTTAACAGACCTAGCTGGAGGATGACAATTTGATATAGCAGCTTCAAGTTAAGAAGTTTCCTAAAAACATGAAGACTATTTCATCTAAAGATTCTGTCAGGAAGTTCAATTTTATTCTTGAATTTGAAGATTGTGTGCCTCCAGCCTGAACCTTCCCTATGGAAAGTGCAGACACATGCACTTTGCCTCACTAAAAAGGGAAAAATATTAAAAATAAAGGAACCTTAACAGCTCCCTTCGAGTCTTATCTACCCACTCTAGTGGCAAGATAATCTTTCTAATTTAATAAGAGAACACAGATGCAAAGCAGAGTTGTAGGAGGAATACTGGCAAGAAGTCAGAACAAAAATACCTCCATCTCCTGGCTCCAGTATCCTCCTACCTTTTCCATCATACATTGCAACTCTTGCCAAATATTACTCCAAAACCAAATGTTTTCTGCAGACCCTGAATATTGTTTTACTTATTCCATGGCCATCGCGCTGATGATACAGCTCAACTGAACAAGATATACATCACATCTAGCTGAGAAGCAATTCCATTAAAGTAAAAGAATCCCACTGGTTCCAAGTGCAACTCTTTCTGGGACATTTATCAACAGGAAATGCTGCAATGTACAATCTATTTTAACTACAGTTTGGCATATGGTAGTCTGAGGAGTGAAATACAAGCATCTATCAGATTCTCAAGCTCCAATAAAACTGCTTCTAGTAACAATTTTCTAAGACAACAGGCATTTTTTCCATACCATCTTCCATAATCCTGTTAACAGAAATGAAAGATATACTAAGGTGATACAGTGCCAAAATAAAAGATACTAAACACAATCACACACCTTTTCCTGAGGAAGCTCCTTTATTTAGAATTTGTATTGCTCGCCGTATGTCCAAGTTGAAAAGTGCTACAGCAGCAGCTCGTTCCCAGTCTCCTTCCTGTTCCAAGGAATTTAGAAAAGGTTCCACATCTAAGTCTGTTCCCTTCTTTATCCACCCACAGAGTTGCAAAGCCAAGGATCTCTCCTCACTCAGATACTGAATAATATCTGCCTGTCTATCAGATCCACTCCTGCTGTGCCTGAGGTTTTCTGTTGTTCCTAGAAAGGGGAAGTAAGTAAAATTATGCTTAAATCACAATTTAAATTGCAATCACAACACAACACTTTGATTTCAATCACAAACCAGAGTACAAAAGCTGAGTGCCATATTTTGGTACTTTAACATCGCTAAAAATTAGATGGTAAGGAGCAGCATACACAAAAAAAAGTTATTTTGATCTGCTAAAAATCATGCACTTAAACATGACACATATTCCCCACTAAGTCTTTTTTCTTTCCTCTACCTTGTTACAGCTGACAGGAGCTATCAGCATGTTCAAATTGAAAATACGTAATACGCAGTCAAGCACCTGCTCCATCAGTTCTCTTCTTAGCCAGCATCATGTTAGAAGCTTTCCCACCACTGAAGTCTTATTTTTTGCTCCAAGGAGTATTCATATTAGTAATAATAACAATAAACATACACAAAACAAATAGAGAAGGAAGATTCCAATAACAGGTTATACTAATAAAAACTTCAGTGAGCACAAGAGGCAGAATGTGACGCATCAGGGGTGATTACCACTCCAGAACAAGGCAAGGCAGCTTGTGCAGAGTTGTACAACATAGTTAAACAAACGTACTTAATACACTAGCAGTGACTACAGCAAAGTCACCTTCCTAGAACTACACCCAGATGTGGAGCTTTGAAAATAAAAGTTATGTGGGGAGCAAGAATTTTCAGTGCCACAGTCAAAACTCCAAAGTCTGAAATAATTCACATATTTACTTCTGAGGATACTATGCTTTTATGATTACTGACTGAACAAGAGCACTGAAAACTCTGGAAATTACTACAACATAAACTGTTAAATGTATATTATTAAAACACAAACAGAAAAGAAAGAAAAGAAATACTGGTTTGGTGTCTTTTAAATAGCCTCTTTGAACAATTATGAAAGACAAACCACTGAGCGCATCATTCTGCAAACAAACTATGACAGAACTTAGCAAAGTTGAAATATTCTTACCCAAAGATGACTTCACAATTGATTTAATGCCTGCATAAACTAAGGGACCTTTGTTTCCTGTAAGCTTTTGATCCATATCTTCCGTATACTGCTTCATAAGTATTTTCTTGTATAGGAAGCTTAATTTTTCCCAAGTGTTTGAAAAGCTTTTTTTTTAAAAATTTAAAATCACACCCTGTTACCATAGGCAAATAATTTAGAGGATGTGGCGCAATATTTAAAACATTTCATGCATTTCATGTAAGTGCTTTACAATAAAGGTGTATTACTTCTTTAGGATAGAAACCACAGCAAAATAAAGGATATAATGCAGAGTATACCAAAGCGATTTCAGCTGAGGATCTTCATTTCCAGCTAGGAGGTGGTTTCTCCAAACTTGTTCAGTATCAAGACCATACCTTGACAGAGCTCTGAGCCGCATTTTGGTTGCTATGTCTTTTTCCAAGGAACTAGCCTTTCCTTCTTCTGTGCACTCATACAAGTGTCGTCCACAAGCCCACATTAAGGATGTCACTGGACTCCATGCAAGAGAAATCCTTTCAAAAACTGTGAAGTCAGACATAGTCCTGTTAGGAGTCACTACTACCATTCGATTTTGACTTGTGGGATGCCAGGCAAATGAAGCAATGTAGTTTTCACACGGCTGGACACTTCTTTCAATTATTGTTGGCTCAGTTTCATCTCCAATAGGGGTGGGCGTATGCTGCATGTCATACAGTCTAATGATATTACTATCCCTTGTTAAAGTAGCTAACAGTCCAGTTCTTGTTGGACACCATGCAACTTTTGTTAAGGGTTTTGGTTGCTCTGTCAAGGTCAAAACAGGCTTTTCGAACTTTCTTAAATCCCATATGGCAACCTGACCTTCATAGAAGGAAGCTACGCGATCGTGGAAATAGGGATCAACTGTCACTCCTTGGACAGCCTTGGTGTTTACAAATATTTTCTGGCTTGTGTTCCTCAGATCAAAGATAGCCAGATTTCTATGCATTCCAGCTAACAACAGCTTCTGATCCCGTGGAAGCCAACAGAGAGAGAGACAGGCATCGTTCTGTCCTAATTCATACAGCGGTTTTGTTACTACCAGTCCTGCTTCTGTATCTCCTGCTGACAGTCTTACTTTCTCTGTAGCAACTGCAGTCTCTGGGGCATATTTGCTACTGATATCCCAGATCAGGACTGAAAAGTCAGCACGATGTTTATCTAACCCAGCAGCAAGCCAGTTGCTATCCAGCGGGTTCCACGCGAGGGTATTGCATTGCCGTGCGTGTTTGGGAACAAACTCTTTGCCTATCAAATCTTTAGACTTGGAGTTGTGATCTTGACCAAGACTGGTGAGTACCACTCGGCCATTGGCCTGTCCAACAGCAAGGAGACATTCAGGATCGTACTTTGGATACCAAGCCACACATTTCATGTACGGCGTATCCGAGTTTATCGACAGCAGCGTAGCCGTAGTTTCTTCTGACAGCCGCAGGGACCCTGCCTTGAGCTCTGAACTTACAGCAGAGTCAATGTGGTAAAGACTCAGTTCCGAATCACACACAACGAATCTGTCGACGTGGTGTGGGGCCCACAGAATATCAGGTTTGGAGCCACTCATGGTTAGGGCAAGTTCACACACAATTTAAGCACTGATAAGAAGATTCAGGTGATATCCATGCATCTGGAAGCTGTTGAGAAAATAATTTGTACGAACATTATCAAAACCCAAGTTGTTTCATAATCTGAGATCATTGTTAAACAAACAAAAAACAGGAGTAACTTTTAGCCCAAGGGTTTAACACATCCACATTTCAGGCCAAAACCTGAGGCATTCTCTGCATTACGTTGTTTTCCTCACAGCACACTCTGGTTTTGCTAGTATGTACCTACTGAGACAGAACCAACACAGCCACCTATAAACTGATGACAACAGGACTCGCTGTGCTTACAACACTACTATTAAGCAAGAGGAGATTAAGTGAGATGGAATGTGGCACAATGTGTGTGCTGCTAGGAAAAAGCCACTCCCTCATACAGCTAGAAGAGAATTTCTCCTTGTAGGGTGCTAATTAACAATAATTAGAGTCTGTCTGTTTGGCCTGAAGTCTGCCCCACAGCCTAGACAGGCTTGCTCTCTCAAGGCTTCTACACAGATACAACTTGGCACTTTATCGTACAGCTCTTAATCCCACCTCCTGCCCCAGCGTTACCTTGTCCTCGTTCGTACCTGACCCGCAGCATTCAGCAACGCGCACTACTACAACACTCCATGCACACTTCAGCAGCAGGGCCGGGACCACCGCGCGTTCCCAGGCACGAACACACCCCGCGGATCACACACAGCTCCTTCACAACCGCAGGAAGGGACACGCCGGATCGGGAAAGGTGAAAAGAAAGCATTCACTTTCCCCGGGACGTCTCTGTGTGCCTGCCGCTCACCCC